AAGCTGATCAAGCTGTTCCAATTTTTTCAAAATCTTTAGTTATTGGTTTGAAAACCATTACATGTTTATTCAGATATTAAAAAAACCACAACACTCAGTAATAAAATGTAAAAGTGTCAGTCTACCCCAAATATTTATTGAGCCTACATCATCTTCTCTCTTCTATACCAAACACATATTTTAAATGGGTATTTTTCTGTTGTGAGGAAATTGTTCATTTTGGGAGAAGCGTATTTTAGAACTTTTAATCCATGATTTTGGTGCTCAGGAAACTTACATGAATGTGATAAATGTGTTCTGATAAGTTAAAATTGATAATGAACTAAATCCGGAGGCAAATTGTTCCTTTAGGAAATCTGAAGACATTAATTTAGTAAAAAGTGAACACATTTTAACTGTAATGATGTATTAATGTGATTAAATAATTAATAACAAATTTCTGTTATGAATTTTTTTAAAAATTCACTTTTCCTTCTACAGAGAGAAGTTTTTAAGTAAATGGCTAGTGTCCTATTTTTCATGATGCTCCATGTATGGGAAGGAGGGAAAGCCTTGTCAAGAGACTCAGAGAGAATAAATTTACAGTGACTGGAAAGTTGAATCCTGGTTTTTAAGATAGTTAAAATTAAATAAAAGAGAAATAATATAGAATTTCTTTCTTTGAAAACATTTATGTAATTTAATTCAATAATACTTATTTAGCACATACTATATACCACGAAGTATGCTAGGGACAACAGAAACGAATATATACAAGACCTACTCCACCGTCCCAGAAAACACATTTTAATAGGACAGACAGGAATGTGAGCAAAAAAATAAAAACGCAATTTAATAAGTGCTATGATGACGATTTTCATGAAGTGTTCTAGAAATATAGATAATGAATGGGTCACTCTAACTAGGCATGTTTGAGAAAATCTACATGGAAGCAGTAACTTTGAGGGAAACAATGGAGGACTAATGGAAGTTACTGGTCAGACACCATAGAGAAGGGCCTGCCACACAGAAGAGAAAGGAGCAGAGTCTGAGAAGTCAGAGAAGACGATGTTTCTAGTTTGGTACTGACTGGGCAGTGATCTTTTCAACAAAGAAAAAATACAGCCATCATTTATTTAGCACCTTCTAGTTGCCAGACTTGTGCTAGGAATAGTAGTATGTAATGAGATACTGTAACTGAGTCTGCCAAGTTTTTAAATATCATTGGTGGCTGGAATTTGTATGGAAAAAGGAGATACAACTGCCAACTATTGTTTTTGTTTCTATGTAAGTGAAGATTCAAATTCAGCTTTTAAGGCAAATTGTTCTTTTGTTTGGGAAAGCAATACAATGGGCTTTTTCATTTTGCAAGTAGAACCAGTGGGGTGGAGATGGAGAATTTTGAGACGATGAGGGTGTAAACTATTTTATATGATATGAAAACATTGTTTTCACTGAAATTTCCTGCTATATATCCTTTTTTTTTTCTTTTCTCTTTTTGAGATAGGGTCTTGCTTTGTTGTCCAGGTGAGTGCTGGAGTGCAGAGCCAGGAACACAGCTCACTGAAGCCTCAAACTCATGGGTTCAAGTGATCCTCCTGCCTTATCCCACACAGTAGCTGGGACTCCAGGCACATACCACTATGTCCAATTAGTGTTTTTATTAAAATTTTTTCTAAAGACAGGGTCTTTCTTTGTAGCTCTAGCTGGTCTTGAGCTCCTGGGCTCAAGAGATGCTCCTTATAATCCCAGCTTCCCAAAGTGCTGGGATTACAGGCATGAGCCATCCCACACCTGGCAACCAGAGATTCTTGTCGCAACTAGGAACATGGCCTTAGAGAGCACGGAAGAAAATCTGGGTCACCTTCTCTTTATAGTGGGAAATGTTGGAGGACTCTCAATGCTGAATGGGAGGGAGGTGTAAAGACAGCTCTTTTGGATGAAGGTGGGCATTAGCACCATTGCAATGGCAGGCTAAATATAACAACAGACAGAAGGAGACTCTTTGGTACAAGAAATAGTCTATACTCAAGGAACTATCATGCTTGGTACCTGGTTTTAAATTGCTTTCTATGTTGTAAGCCCCTTTGGCTGTCATCAAGCTTTCAATAAAATTTGCTTACACATTGAAGTTGTTCTTGTATTAGTTTGCTAGGGCTGTCATAACAAAGTACCACAAACTGGGTATGTTAAATAACAAACAGATTGTATCACAGTTGCAGAGGCTAGAGGTCTAAAATTAAGATGTCAGCAGTAATGGATCCTTCAGAAGACTGTAAGGGAAAAATGTGTCCTACGTCTCTCTTGTTGATTTGTAGATGGCCATCTTTTCCCTGTGTCTCTTCACATCATCTTCCCTCCATATGTATCTCTGTCTAAAGTTTCCTTTTTAGACGACACCAATCATGTCGGATTAGAGCCCAGCCTAATGACCTCACTTTCATTACTCTGTAAAAATCCTGTCTCCAAATAAGTTCTAACCAGTAACTCAGAATGTTGCCTTAACAATATGAATTTGGGTAGGGGGATGCAATTCAACCCATAACAGTTGTGCTTGGAAGATTTAAGAGAGAAGTCTGTTTCTGCACTGTGGGAGTAGTTGTATGGGAAGCGTGGCCCTAGTGTGGAGATGCTGATAATAAGGCCAAGCAGTTCGGAGAAGTTGTCTACACGATGGCAGCTTGGACATATTTTTGGTCTGTGAAATATTCCTCTAAGGATTCCTAAAAATGCTGGCAAAGAAACTTCTAGTGAAAGCCTGTATTTCTTCATGTCAGTTGAGGCTGGGGCTTATCCATCATTATTTAGACTGAAAAATCTGGCAATAAATATCATTATCCACATTTTATATTGATAAAACCACAACTCAAAATAGCCAAGTAACTCTCCTGAGACCCCACTAGTGGTACATGTCACCATTTCCAAACTCAGTATTTCTTTTTTGTCTACAAGACAGTGATTATTTCAAAGCTGAGAGAAGTCAATTTGAAAATAAACAATTTAATTTTAAACAATATTATTTCAGTTATTAGAAGGTAAACCATCTGTCATATATACCATTATACCCTGATGTTTGGAACAGTAGGTGCTCAAAAATATATATATTCTTCGAAAAAAAGAATAACAGGAGGTAGAGATATTCAAATGGCAGGGAAGTAAAACAGATGTTGGGGTTAGAGATTCAGATTTTAAAAACAAGAATAACGAAATAAATAATGTTTCTCAGAGAGACTAAGAAGAAGAAAATTCTGAAGATGAAACTCTGATAAGCATTTTTACTTGAGAACAGAAATAAAATAAAAGTAAGCCAAGGAGCAGGGAAAATTTCCAGAAAGAGAGAAAGAAGTCAGTAGTGTCCTGGGGAACTAAAGGAAGAAAGCTTTTCAAGAAAGGGATGGTTAATAATACTTTGATCAAGATCCCAGAGTTAGGATGAGAGAAGTAGAGGATATGTCTTTCGGCACAATATCAAAGAAGGTAAAAAAGAGAAGAAAAGATTTACATAAATTTTGAGGTGATCTATATAAACAGGGGAAAGAGTTTGCCTGACGATAGGTTTTCTTTAAGATATAGGAGATTGACACACATGTTGGAAGTAAGAGAAATTGACCTAGAGTAGTAAGTAAAGAGGTAACGTCTTGGTGTGGCGTGGGTAGGAGTAAAAGAAAGTTCTCAAGAGTAAGCAAGGAGTCCTGAGCTCTAGTCTCAGTGAGGCTAGAAGTGACTCCTTTCCGGGTTTCTACTCCAGCAAAATCAGTAGTTGCTGTTGTTGAAGAACAGGAGTGGCTTTTTTTCTTTTCTTTTTTTTTTTTTTTTTTTTTTTGGAGACTGGGTCTCACTCTCTCACCAGGCTGGAGTGCAGTGGCACGATCTCGGCTCACTGCAAACCTCTGCCTCCCGGGTTCAACTGATTGTCCTGCCTCAGTTTCCCAAGTAGCTGGAATTAGAGGCACCTGCCACCATACCCAGCTAATTTTTGTATTTTTAGTAAAGATGGAATTTCACCACATTGGCTAGGCTGGTCTCGAACTACTGACCTCAGATGGTCCACCTGCCTCAGCCTGCAAAGTACTGGGATTATAGTCATGAGGCACCATGCTTGGCCAGGAGTGGCTTTTCGGTGGACTCAGAATTGAGGAGAGGTGAGAAGAGAATTAGAAAAGGGACAATGACAAGGAGACAAGAACATCAAAAATGTTAATGAGACTACGATTGAAATAACTAATGATATAAATAGCTAGCGAAGTGGAAATAAATAGCTGGCTAAGTGGAAAAGGAAGTAAAAACGAAGAGGTTTAAAAGACCAATGGCCAGAAACGGGGGAGCACAAAATAAGTAGGGCCTGATGAGTTTGAAGAGAATTTTAGAAATAAAACAGCAGTATGTAATCAATTGGACATATATCTCTTTTCAAAAGTTTGGGTACAGTGTGAATTGAGTCATTTGGACACAGCTTTTTCTTTGAAGTTTCTCCTGCCCCTTAGAAGCATGATGTTAAAAATTAGTTCATAATTATTGCTTCTTGAGATAACCCTTTGCAGTTGCCATTTTGTACTAACTACCTAACATTGACTATAGGAATCTGTTTATAATTCAATGATTGTCAGAGCACTATCTGTTAAAGTGATATAACATATCCTTCAATTGTATAAAACATACCATTAAAGAATTGTTTTCCTAATAAGAGATAAATATTATAAATTCCAATCAGGAAGAAAATGGAGAAAGATAAATTAGCATGATAAAAACACAATAATTCCTTCCAATCCCAGCATTCTAATTTTAAGACATATACTTATTCCTTTCAAAGAAAACTAAGCACTGAAATTCAGTTCTCCTCATGGTGAAGCAATGCCAGCACAGGTAAGCCCTGCGTTGGTGTCCAAAAGGAAAGTAAAATTTCCAAATGCATTTGTATTTCCATTTGTGTCAATAGACTTTTTAGATACGTTACCTTTCAGCTGGCTTTCAAATTTCAACATAAGTGGAAACGTAAGAACTAGTATAATAACATTACCAACCTAGGGAGGCTTATTTCCACTTCCTCTTCTTGCATCTCAGAAAGCCATTTTAGAATTTGTTGAGCAGTAATTAGTTTCTCTACTTCTTCTATATTCATACCTTCTGCAGGAAGTATGATAATTAAACTAAATTCATCACCTTTATAAGGCAATTCTAAAACTTGGTAGTTCATGGAAGATTCAGAAAAATAACCTGGAATAGACAAAATAAAATATCAAACATACTTGGCAATTCCCAAGACTATGCTTAGGAACTGTGGTTTCTCATATTACCATATTTTGTTCTCAGAAGAGCCTTCATCATTGGAATTCTGACAGTTGAACCATTTTTCTTAGTAAAATTTATCAGCTGTGTGTCCTCTTTTCTGAATTTCTGTTTCCAATCTCCTTTGAAATAAATAGCATTCACCAGGACAAGCCGAGTCAGAGGGCCAAATTCTTCCCCTGAAAACATGTCTTTAATTTTTCCTAGGAAGGGGGTGGAGGAGGAGGTAAGAAGAAATGTGCAATAGTGATTCAGTGGAATTGCTTTGCATAGAATTAAAGCAAAAATGTCTTTTGCAGATCAGTTTTGGATAGGGCATGTTATCATCTAAATATGGTAATTTTGAGAATAAAAGGGATTGCTATTAAATATTTCACCAAGTAACAGGGACAAATAGAATTTCACTAGGAAATTAGAAATATGAGACTGTTTTAGGCAAATTTGGATATACCTAGACTCTCTTCAGTTAGATCATTTGTATCCATTGTATGTCAGACATAAAGAATATATTTCTTCTTCCATATTTACTGGCATTATTCCATCTATTTCAAGGTCTTCTAACATGTCAATCATCATTAGTAAGTTAATGGTACACTCAAACTTGCCAATCTGACAGCTGCGTCGACTGACCATTGGAAATGGAAAAGAATGGAGGTTACTAGTATAGTTCCTTTTCTCCAAATAACGGGTCTCCTATTTCTATGTCCAGTGAGCTGTTCCAAGTTATGAGAAATAGGCACGACTGGGTATCATATAGGCATCATAGAGCTGTCTAGTGATTTTCTATACCTGTGAACATGGCTCACCACACCTATTCACATTTTCAACTTATGCTTCCCCATATAAGGCTTCCTATAAAGAGTATAGCTGTGTTATAACATCACATTTTTAGCTGATTAAATAAATTACTATTAATTGAGGGCTTGGTGTATGCTTAACACTTCACATACATTATTTACATTATTAAAACTCCAAATAATGTGGAAATGTTTTAATAATATCCTCATTTTAAATGGAGCATAGCTTATAATTTTCCAAGGTTTCAACTCAGATTTGTATGAATTTAAATTTATTATATCCCTCTGTAATCAACTATGAAATTTTTGCTAGCTTGCATTTAAAGTTTAGACTACCATATTTATGATAGAACGATTAACATTTATTATTAAATATTAACACATTCAACTAAAACATGTTAATCATTTTCAGCATCTGTGGGAAAGAAGCCATTTGGGATTGACAGATTTAACTTCTACCTGGCCAAAGAAATTATTTCTGCTTTTATACCTGAAAAATCTGTTTTAACCAAAATTATTATTAAAATTACTTCAATAAGAATTCTACAAGCAGGTACCTCTAAAAAAAGGTAAAAGAATCAGCATACTCTTCAAAGCAGCTTATAATTTATCCCAGTTTTAAATTTAGTATTAATTTAAACAACAGAGAAATGAGATAGGATATTTGATTCCTCTGATCCATAGTGCGGTAGGAAAATATTCAGCCATTCTTTACTTTAGGATATTAAAAACCATGAATACAATGGCAAATAATAATTTTATGAAAATGGGAAACTTTACCATCTGTTTTGCCTTCTACCCAGGTACTTATCATCTCTGCACAAGCCTTTGCATCTTGAAAATCCACCAGTTTTATAGCACTCTGAAAAAATTCCTTGTTGCCATGGAGATACTGTTCTTTCACAGTGAATCCTTCTTGAAGGTAGAGGGCATTGGCAAGATTAAATGTAAATTCTTGTTTTTTCTCTGAGATGGCAGAGAAAAATGACTTCAGTTCGAAAAATTCTTCCCCTAGAAAATAATTTTAATGTATACTGGCATATTGAACAACATAAAAACAACAGCTTTTCAGCTTTGCTATCTAAACGCTCTGATTCATATCACCATTTTTTATACCCTTAGGTATAACTAACAATCCTTTCAAAGTTAGTATAAATATTTTAAGAATGTATCTCCTGTAGAATATGCATTTTGTAGAGGAATCATCTTTTATATAGAAAAAGAATGTCCATGTAAATTTGAAATTTGTCAAAAACAAGAATATGCATTTATAGAAGCTGAAGGAAAGTCCCTCTTGATAGTCACATTTAGCTCATTTTTAGTTCTTGAAATTTATGTTAAGCATCTTATTCTTTGCATAACATGAGCATGTAATACCTCTGAAAAGGAAATGCTAATGAATGCTGATGGGGGTATGACAGTGAAGAGCAATCCTTTTCAATATTACTTTTATTTCAGCTTAGGAAAAAAATTGTTCTCTTATAAGCAACTGCACCTGTCCAGGTTTTAAAATTTACAAGGCAACCTCTGTAATCATCTCTAGAGATGTGTAAGAATCAGAATTGCCTATTTCTACAAGTTCATGAATTTATACACTTTGGCTGTTGACATCAACAATAAAAATCTTTAACCATTTTAACTATAACCACCAGCCAAAATAAGTCAGTCAGAGTCAACTGAAAGAATCACTTCAGGCCTATTATTTATTTTTGGATTGTTCTGACTGAAATGTTGTCCAGAAGCTATATATGCCTATGAGAGACATCTACCCTGATATTTGGTTTAGGAGCTTCCTATTCATTACCAAAGCGTACTGACAGTTTCCATTTTCTTCTGGCTTCATCTTAGAACTCAATCATTAAGTCTTGTAACTCTATTTCAAATAGGTTCTTTTAGGGTCTTCATTATATTTTCAGTTAAATACTGCAAATGCCACTTTCATAACATAAAAATGTATATATTCAATTAATCTTTATTCAAGAAAACCAGGTATTACTAAGAGAGATTTACTACTGGGTATCGACTAGATATAAGGAGGATGTGTGTGTGTGTGTGTGTGTGTGTGTGTGTATATATATATATATTTTTTTTAATCAGAAAGCTAGTAGCCCCATAGGGCATCTCTGTGCAAATAAAAATAGTTTCCTCTCTAGGGGCTGGGCAGCTACATGGCCTCTCATCTTGTTCAGCTGGGTAGAGGCTACATTTCAGTCCCTACTTGCCTTTTTTGGCCTGGTCTCACAACCTCACAGGAGCCTCTACGAAGTATAGTGAATTATATTTCAAACTCCAGGATTGTCTGTTCATTAGAATATAGATAATGGTATAAACAATTTCAGATATTAAAATAACTTACTTCCACATGATTCTATCTGAAGAATTTTGGTAATTCTTTAAAATTCTGGAATTCTTTACATAAGGAAGGGAGGAAAGTTAAGCCATTTTACTTATTTATGCAACGATTTCAGATGTAATCGTTTATTTCAGGCTATTCGAAGCCTCAGAGGAATATCTCCAGAGCTGGGAGAGTAAGGAAAAGACTTTCTGAGTAAAGACATGAGAGCTTTTCCAAAAGAATTAATTAAGATCAGAAATGAAATGACAGAATCTGAAACTAATTATCAGGAATTTGAAATATATGAACAGCTTTAAAGGAATTTAAAAAAGAGAGAGAGAGAAGGGGAGAAAAAGTAGTTCCAAATCATTTGTCAAAGCAAATAGATTATTGTCATGTATTTAAGGTCTAAGCCTATGTGACAAACAGCTGCCCTTTGATAAACCATTGAACTTAGAAGTCAGTGAAAAAAATGTTACCAAGTAGTACAAGTTTGGAGAAGAATATAATATTATCTGCCTTATATATTTTGTTTGGTTTCTAGATAAATGACATTTGTAACACAGATCAAAAAGAATATATATGGCTCCTAATAAATAATGAGAACAAGTTTATTTCATTTTTAAAAATAAAGCCATGGATAACCCACAGGTCATGAGCGAATGTGATTCTTGATTTGATTGTACCAGACCTCCAGAAAATGTTCTAAAATTCAGTTCATGTTATCTTCTGCTAGTAAAGGTCTAAAAGCCAATTTTGTGTGCATATGGTAGATCCAAAGATGAAAACAAAGGTAGTTATAGAATTATAGATTATTTCAGCCAAAAAAATCCAAATAAATCACCTAACCCCAACTTTTCTTTTTACACCGAGGAATCTGAGATCCAGAGAGATTAAGAAACTTCACAACTGACATGACTTGTGACAAATCATAAGGTAATTTAGTTGCAGAACTGGGACAAGAATTTGTGCCCCTTTCCCTTTTCATAACCCTGTGAAAAAAAGAAGCACCTTCAATTTAGCCTTTGATTCTCCATCAGTTATCAGAGGTAAAGCAAAAGGAAGTATTATCAGATGTTCAGCAAAATGGAGGAGGTAAATTCAGAGCAGATATTTGACAACGAAGTAAAGAAGAACTGAGGACACTGAGAGCCTTATGTAATATAGAAGAATTAATATTCTTATTAATATATTAATAAAATATATTGCTCTTAGATTCTTAATCCTCATTAAATTATTTCAGGAATTAGCACTGAGCAAATTATTTAACCTTTCTTTGCCTTGGTTTTCCCAGGCTTATTACAGGATTGTTTACCTAACACAGTAATTATAAATATAAAATGAGAGAATATATATTAAGCACATAAAACAGTAGCTGATATGCTATCTATATTTTTGATAGTGCATTATTATTATTAATTTGATTATTATGTTCACAATTCACACTTGTTAAAACATCTCTGTTTCTCTATATGCTGGATCCATTTAAAGTAATTTAGTTTTCAAAGACTCTAATTAATGTAGCTTCACAAATACTGTGTTACTTTTCAAAGCTATAGCATGTTACGGTTCCAGGAGTGGTCCAGCAGGATTTGCTTAAATTAATCAAGATTAAATCTGCAATCCATTGGCTTCAGTATGCATTTACAAAGGAGAATTCTTACAATTAACTTTACTATCACCAACTTCTTTTCTGTATAAAATTGTCTTTATTTACAATGAAGCAAATAAAATATTGTAAATAGTATTTTCGGGAAAGCAAATTTCTAAATATAGCTACTCTGTGATAAGAAAAATATACTGAAATTATAGTTGTAGCAACTGAATTCCCAAATCAAAAATCTGTATTTAGAACACAGTATCTCAGAGTAATCCAAAAGCTGAAAATTAAAACAACTACAGTAACTGAGAGCATGAGATGGCTAAGGAGATGAGCAACAACATTTTTTTTTTTTTTTTTTGAGACAGAGTCTCTTCTGCTGCCCAGGCTGGAGTACAGTGGCACAATCTCAGCTCACTGCAACCTCCGCCTCTTGGGTTCAAGCAATTCTCCTACCTTAGCCTCCCAAGTAGCTGGGACGATAGGCACATGCCACCATGCCCTGCTAATTTTTGTATTTTTAGTAGAGACGAGGTTTTACCATGCTGTCCAGGCTGGTCTTGAACTCCTAACCTCAAGTGATCTACCTGTCTCAGCCTCCCAAAGTGCTGAGATTACAGGTGTGAGCCACCATGCCAGCCGAGCAACAATTCTTTCAAATGGGATGCCAGCACAAAAGCACAGTATCCCAGTAAGAGGGATACACACTATCCCAGATATACCATGGGGAGACTCCAACAAAACACCATCATTCACAAGCAGAAAGGCCTTTGATGATTTAAATGCATTTCCCCCTATTTTTCTTTTAAAACTAGTAATAAATACGTTCTCAAAATGACAAAGTAATGCTTTTTCTTGGTCTCATTGTAGATGAGAGTACATTGTTTTTATAAGAGAAATGTTGGAAACAACCTATTGAAGAAAGGCTAAATAAGTTATGGTATTTCTGTAAGAGGCAGTAAGAGGGCAGGGAGCAGTGGCTTACGCCTGTAATCCCAGTACTTTGGGAGGCCGAGGCAGGTGAATCAACTGAGGTCAGAAGTTCAAGACCAGCCTGGCCAACATGAAGAAACCCCTGTCTCTACTAAAAATACAAAATTAGCCAGGCATGGTGGTGTGTGCCTGCAATCCCAGCTACTCAGGAGGCTGAGGCAGGAGAATTCCTTGAACTCAAGAGGCAGAGGTTGCAGTGAGCCGAGATCACGCCACTGCACTCCAGCCTGGGCAACAGAGCAACTCCATCTAAAAAAAAAAAAAAAAGCGGCAACAAGATACAGTAATTAAAAAATGTATTTTGAATCAGTTACATGACATGGGAAAATGATCACAACATAGTGATAGTGGAAGAATATATAAGTGTATAGATGTATATTTTATGTGTATGTATGTACACACACACTAATGCACATCCAATATAATTTCCAGTAGTTAAAACTGGCTAAAACTAGAAGAAAATGCACAAATATATACTTAATTTTACATTTATATAAATGTCAATTTCTTAATAAATTATTTTTGTAATTTTAAGAAAAGAATTATAAATGAATGAAAATTGCATTTACAATTCTCCATTTTATTATAATTCCATACTTTTCATTACATTTTTCACTTATTAAAGTTTTTTATCCTGAACTTCTAATATTAAAGAATAAATTTTTCCATATCTTATCCAGTATAGGTAAGGAGATATAAGTCTCTTACCAGCTGAGGTTTCCTGTTGTTTTAAAGTTTGTCTTATCTGTTGCTGTGCTTTTCCTTTGGCTCCCAGTTGTACCATTTCAAGAATCAAAGTTATTCCAAGGGGCGAAAATATAATGTTGTTCTTATGAGATAAGGAAACCTCTTGATAAATATCCATTGCAAATTCGGTATTTTTTTTAGCTGAGGGTCTTGAGGCTTGACTTCCAAAAAACAGCAATAGGAGACTCCACAAGAAGAATGTGTCCATTTTGATTTCTCTGTATTGTTTAAATCCAAATGTATTCATTTTCAAAAGGGTTTTGCATAGAGATCTCAACAGATAACTTTCTACCTATTGTATCTTTCTATCTTAATAGAACTTACTACCAGGAGTGAACTCTATCCAATTTGATTTCTGACTAAGTATCATCTGTTAGGAGAAATACTCCATGTGCTAATGGTATTTCTTAGGTATCTTCAAAAACCACTAGAAAATATACTTGTAGTTTTGTAACAAAAATCATAAAAGAAACTACAGTATCGGAATGTTATCAATGGCAATGGTATCTCTAAATAGCTATACTTTTTTTCTATCTTTTCTCATGGTTTTTAAGTGGGATTAAGTGTAACTCTGACATCAAGTAGAGCTTCTGAGAAGATTACTCTAAAGTGATTTATAGATCAAGAGGAGAAACTGAATAAAAACAGACTTACTCCAGTATGGTTTTGGAACTATACTATTAGAAAATTAATGTATTCTAAAGTAACTGAGTAATCTGGCTAACTTTTTACAACAGTTTTCCTCACGCTTTATTTCGTAGGACAAAATAACTCCAAACCCTCCTCCTACTTTTCCAAAGGAAGAAAAATGCAATGCAGAAAACCTGCAAAGTTTGAAACAAAATGACAATCAAATACAAATGATACCATTAAGTACTATGCTCACTACCTGGCTGATGAGATCATTTATACCTCAATCCTTAGTGTCAGGCCATATACGCATGTAAGAAACCTGTGCATGCACCTTTTAATCTGTGATAGAAGTTGAAATTATAAAATAAAAAATATAAGTGAAATAAAATATTAAAGAATAAGTTGACAAAAATACTAACAAACCTGAGTAGCAGCAATTGAAAACCATAAACAATTTACAAAATTAATACCCTATTAAAGTGCTCTCCACTAAAATTGCAGGAAATTCAACCTTTTGACTGTATCTCAAGCATAATTAGTTTTGCAGTATTACCACATACTCGGTAGAATGCTGACTCCAAGGCCTCATAAATTTTAGTAATAATAATTTTACCTTATGAATAATACATGATAGTAACCCTTAAAAACTTATCCATTAATAAGTTATGAGGAAGTAACCCTTACTCAGGATAAAGATGAAAGCCTTCAGAATAGTGTGTTGTCAGCCTTCAGTGGAGAGTTACATTTCTAGACTGTTTTGCAGATTAATAAGGGGGCCACCATGACCCATAAATGGATAGGCGTCACTAACAACCATATTTATATATAAAGATTACTAATAGTCAAATATTCTTCCAAACTAAACTATGGAGTCATTATTTAGACATTTCAAATTCTCTTTCAATGTATGTTGTTAAACTGTATTTGTTTAGACACTCATTTGTAGAAGATAAAAACCTCAAAAAACAATCCAAAGCAATTGTTAGAAAATGTGTTGGCAAACTTCAGATATAGACATATGTTATTAATATCAAGAAAATGTTTCATTAGAGATTAATTTAGCCTATGAGGTTGTAAATGAGAGTGCAACAATAGTAAAAACTAGTGAGTAAAAGTTTTACATGCAAAATAAATGTTTATCTATCACCATATTCTAATATATTCAGTTTCTCAGAAGACTTTTGACCAAAATATGTGTTTGAAGATACGTAAGTAGTCAAGATGTTATTAGTACTTTTAAGTTATCAAGTGACAATACAGTAGATATAGCTTTATGTATTTGGTTTATATTAGAATAAACAGTATTATTAAAAAATGGAATTTTTCCTCTGTGGTAGAATATCAGTATTAGAGTTTCTTTCTCATTATTATTAATTATCTTAATAATTAAATTTATATTCTTTGAGCATCCATTTTTTCCAGAAAATTTCTAAGCACTTAATAAATTATAACCTCAGACAAATATTCGTTTTAGAAATTCACTTACCTCATTGGGTTTTGAATTTTATCTTATCAGAAAGCACCTAGCACTGCAGAACTAAACAACCTGATGAATAGTCCTATAAGAACTGGATCTTCTGATGTACAGTGAAATCATTTGAGGAGAATAAAAGTGATATGTTAATTTAATAAATTCAAATGATTTTTATGCCAAAGTAAATTGAAATGCCTTTCCTTACTTTGCTAAACACTCATAGGCAATGTTATTGCATATATACTTTATTCAAAAGCTATTTATTTCTAAGGTACTTACCCCAAATTGGCCTCTGGTTATTCACTGGACTGTTACAACTAAAATATGTTTGCTGGAAAACACTTGTACATGAACACCTGAGCTATCAAGGCCAACCCTATTTATCTTGAACATTCCTTGATTAATTCCTCTAGAACCAAAGCAGGTGTTCACTACATTTGTATTAAAGAACGAACACGATCAGGTTAATAATCAACAGATGAAATGCGTAAAAATTAAGAAATAAAACAGTAATAGCATTTTTAAAAATTATTATGTTTATATTATTTTATCCATTATTTTACTTATTTTAAAAGTTGCGCAGAATCTGAAAAGATGTGCCAGCGGTTGTAAATTTGCTAGTAATTAGTTCTTTTTGTTTCACACAGGACTCCCACGTCAGATGACCAGTGTACTTCACCATAAATATTTCAGAACGCCTGTGAGAAAAAGAATAAAGCTAAATCAAGCCCAGAATGCAGAGACAAATTACTGCTGCATTTACAGGGTTCTCAACAATTCATCAGATTATACAATAGTCAGAGGAGTTTCCTGTGGATAGAAAGCCCATTTGAATCCTTAAGGAAAAGAGTGGATATTGAAGAAATATGTTCTTTAATTTGAGCAGAACGGCCAGCAAAAAAGATAACAAATTTGCCAAAATATCTCAGGATAATACTATTAGCCACAGGTAATTTGATGATAAAAATTGCTGTTACCTTTGTGTGCTTTTAAAACACTACATGGTTTTCTTTGCTTAAAGGTCATTAATAAAAGACTGCATAATTTAATAGGTTTCATCTCATTTTTGTAGTTCAAATCAATCACCTCAATGGCAATCAGATATTAAGTACATTGTATTATTTATCCATAGCCTTTGAGAAACAAAAGAAAATTCAGTGCAATTTTAATTAAACAAAAATCTATTGATCCCCAAAATTAATACTATTTCTGATAAGCTCATGTAAAAGAAAGAGAGTATAGATAGCTTTAAATAGAATTCATTTTTTAAAACTTACCAGAGAACCCTGTTAACATCTTTCAGTGTCCTAATATGGGTGTAACTTAAAAATAGCCCTGATGATAGATGATTATAGGCTGCAATCTATCATTTAACTAAAATTTTTGATTTCCCATATAGGCATCTTCAAATGTTTTCTAGACCTTGGGTTTTATTCTAATATTACCTACTCTGATATAAGCAAACTCTAGTCTAGCAAGATAATTTTCAATAAAAAGTTGTACAATACAAGAATACTATCATTATACTTGCTTCACATTGCAATACATAAATATAAGTCTGAATGTCCAAGACAATCATTTAATCAATGCTTTTCCATTCATTTACTGACACTAGCAAACGTCTATCACCAGTACCCTTGGCTACCACATATTATTACGTCTGTACACTGCTCAGATCACAATGTGATTTATCCAGAAATAGGCCATTACTTTTCCCACCAATGTCAGAGACAATCACTCTGTCCTACTAAGACCATTTAGTGAAATTGTTCTGTAAGGACCTTATGTTAGAGCAGTTCAGGCAGAATGTTCATTTTCCTGTCTCTTGAGGAGTAAAAAGCAATAGCCATAAATTTATTCTCCCTAGTTTAAACTCTTTTAATAGACAATGAAGATAAGACAATTTTCCATAAAATATTACTGTTAAGTGTTTAAAATATTTTTCCTAACTTCTACTTTCGTTCCTAGACAATCGGTGGCAGGGGGAAGAATTATTCATTAATGAGAGCCAAAGTGTCTTGGTATAAGGTTGATTGCCATTACTATCCCACCATAAATTATAAACCTGGGAATATATATAAAACCACGGCAAGGGGTTACAGTTATCATCTCATCATTTTATAGCTTTTTCAAGTAAAAATGCACTTAACTCCAACCTTTAAAATCATATAAGCAAATGCCTTAATCAGTAAATACCTTAAAAGTTATTTCTTCCATTTAAGCATGGACTCATTTCAGGCAACTTTTATTTGTAAAGATTGTTTCTAAATTTTAAGTGATGATAGGAAATTGTTCTGACAAAAGAAAAGGTTAAATTATATTTAGTGTAAATGTAAATAATACAAACAAGGTAGCCTATTGAAAATTATGACATACCCTATTTTAATATGAAAAATTCCTTTTACCATAGGAAAAATGGATCTTAAGTAATTGAATCTAAATATTAACTTGAGAAACAGTTTCTAATGCCTTCAGTTCTGTTAACAGTTGATAGGTGAGATCCTGCTACCTGCCTAGAAAATTAGATGCTGCAAGTTACAAAAGAAGAGTAAGACATTAAAAAAAGACATTGTCTTTTTTCTTCTTTTTGTGTTTGTTCTCCAAGTTATTAGAAATGAAAACATTAAAAGAAACTCTCATACCTTTAGAAGTTCTCTTCTCATTGAATATATTTATGAGACAGCGCTTCTTAATTCCTTTTACAGAAGAAGCCCTGATGTTAATTAAGGATGGAATTAGAGTTACTCACAGCATAATACCATGCATAGGTAGGAGGCTATAGAGAGAAAGTCTGTCTATATGAATTAGGCTCTCTCAGGCTATCACATCAAACAAAGTTTTCTTCAAGGGTAAAATGTAAAATATGTCTAGCAAAAGAATTTCCAAATTATGCCAGAAAATATATGCCAAATTATGAGTTTCCAACTAATGCCAGCAGGGTCAAGCAGTACGTTTTATATGGCTTCACTTCATAAAGTTGAGGGTAGAAAAAGGGCATTCTATTTGTTTATATGTTAATATCTGGTATCTAAAATAGTTTCTTGTACATGTCTTCAATAATTACATGAGCGAAGGATGGATGGATCAGTGGGGAAAAGAGCCTTTGAAAATTATTTGGTACCGACATTCTACTTCTAGAACATCTTAACAATCTGTTAAATTTTTGGGAATGTGGCTCAGATTTCACTCCACTGTACTATCACCAACCTATGATTCATAAATCATATGCTCTGAGTTTGAAATGATGGATTATCCAATCAAACCTCCCACCCAGTGTAAGAAGTCTTTGCAATATGCCTGTGAGATAGTTGCCCAGTGCCCACTTGCACATCTCAAATAATCTTTTTGTACAAAGGCAACTTTTCATATTTAGAAAAAATAATTTACCTTGAAATACTTTCAAATTAACATAAATTAGCTATAGTACAAAGAACTACTATCTCGACCTCCTCCTGTCTCCCCAGTTGTTAATATCCACCACATTTGTGTTCCATCTACATATGTATCTCCTCTCCATAATTAGATGTAAATATAGATATGTACATGTGTTACCTGTGTGTGTATATATACACATTCTATAATTAGTATTTTCTGAATCATTTTATAGCAAGCTGAATGCGTAATTTCTATCATAAACATTCTATTATTATATTTTCCTAAAACAAGGACACTTCTGCATCATCACACCACCCAACAAACACACACATAAACACACACACACACACACACACAGGAAAACACACTTTTCTCCTACAATCTTTCCCATATGTGATTGTCATTGCATGAAGAGGACAGGGAACATGAATAGAAGTCATGATGCCTGACTCAGAACGCACTTAAATGTAGTTAGAATAGGCAGCTGTCTTCTGAAAACCTTTCTGTCACCACCATCTCCACCAAACCAAAATATTTGCTCCACTGGTGCTGGAAAGGCTATCGTTGGAATTCATTTCATTGACTTTATACTATTAAAAAGCAAGTGAACAGAATGATGAATGGCAAATACTATGGTTTGGGAGTAAAACAGACATGGGCTCCAATCTCAACTCTGCTGTTGATAATTAAGCACTCTCCTAATGGATTCACATCAAATACTTTAGCTCTAAGCGAATATATTTCATATGATTATTGGATGTTTTAAACACAATGGACATTTGCAGTTGCTATACCAAGTGGTCCCCTACATACTGCAAATTATTTTCCTTTACTACGTGTTGTTGAAAAATTCTTCTTAAACTACAGCTAGTTTTAAATGGACTCTTTAAAACATTAATATATAGTAAGTCCTTACAGTAATGTAAATGAATTTACCAATTCTTTCTACAGAACACAATAAGTAAAATAGAATAACAATATTCATTGCCTGGAGCATGATTCTATTCATAAATCAGAATGGGTCAACAAAAAGAGGCTGTAAGTTTCAGAACCCATATTTCCCACTTGACTTTCCACACAGAGTGGGTCCTCTATATGGCCCCAGGCCCTTTTATTTTTTTCAAGAATATTACCTCTTTGATGTGCTAGGCATTCAATTTTAAAGTACAGTATAACGAAGTATTGAAGTAGATCACGTGCAGTAATTTCCCACCAAGCTTATAGAATGAACAGAAGTCAGTAAGAATTAATAGGAAGTGGTGCTATTGACAAGGTCTAATTGCCATCATGAGGATCATTTAAAAAATACTAGAAAGTATAAAAAAGCAGAAACAGTTTTTTTATTCACATTTGTAGACATTTACTGCATCAGTATTTTCACATATTCCAATGCAGGTTTTATGATGAAAATTGACCAAAAATGTCTGTAGAAACAACCAGAACAACTGGTTAGAACTTTGTTCTGGAATCCTAAAGTTTTTATATAAACATTCTTGAGAATAAAACATTCTTGAGAATAAATACCAATTGATGTTGCTCCCACTGTAGTTCAATATTTATTTTACTAAGAATACAGAGAAATTGAAAGGTGATAAATAAGAGCAGTACTAAAATATCCCATGAAGACAAAACTTCCTGAAGTTCAAATATAAAATAAAAGGCAGAATCCTTGATGCTTTTCCTGCATTTTCTACTGTACTTTATGTAACAATGAAGCTTTTTCTATTATAATTACTTTTTATTTTTCTTCACTTCACAACTTCTTTCCTGGCAAAATTGCTTGGCTTTTCGTTCATGATCCAGAATTTCCTTGGGAAACAGGCTTTTCTCATCAAATACAGCTTTCAAACCTACAGAATCATGATGAAAATTACATGTAAATTATATTTGGTAAGAGACCTACTTAAATAAAATAGTGGGGAGAACATTCTCACATCTGTCTTTTTCTAAAATTTTTTGTTTCTAAAACATAAGAGTGTATTTGGGAAAATTTTCTCTAAGGTACTATTCTGTTTACTTCAATTTACATAGAAAAATTAAACTTTAAGTTTGTTCTTTTAACGCATGTATCTTCTTAATAGAAATCCACCATTCTAAGGATAGAAGTTTGTGTTTTCCACTTTTGTTTTTTAATCTACTTAACAGCTATCAAGACATAAAGAGCCAGGAAAAAAA